TGCACAGCGTGCATGGGGGGGTGAGTGTGCAAGGCCGTGTACACGGGGTGCAGGTGTGCACGGGGGGTGTGCAGGGCCGCGTGCAAGGTGTAAGTGTGCACAGCGGGTGTGGAGTGTGCTGTGTGTGTGAGTGGGGGGTCTGTGGGGTGCAATGTGTGTGTGCGGGGCTGGCGGGTGTGCAAGAGTGAACAGTGTGCGCAGGTCACAGCGCAGAGCCCCAGGGGACCAGTCCTGGGGACAGGCGCGTCACCCGCACGCACACCCGTCCCTGCACACCCGTCCCTGCACACCCGTCCCTGCACACTCCTACGCGTGTGCGCGGCTCGTCTCCACGCACGGATCCCGTCACGTCCCCCTGCGCGTGTCCCCGTGGCAGTCCCCACTTCTGCACGTGGCCCCAGCCCCACAGGCGTGTCGCCACCCGCCCGGGTGTCACCATCACCCCATGTGTCACCATCCCCGTGGTGTCACCATCTGCAAAGTGTCACCGTCCCTCCCAGCCAGACATTTCCCCTTAGCGGGACCTGGGAAAGCCCAGGGAAATCCCAACGCCGCCCGGGGTGTCACATGGAGGGCGTCACACGGAGGGGGGGTCACAAAGGGACCTTGGAGGGGGACTCTCGGGGGGGTTCTTGCACGAGGACCTTTTGCACATGGGGGGCAGATCTCATGGGGGGGGTCTCTTGAGGACGTCGCACGGGGCCATTGCACAAGGATGTGGCAGGGGGGTTGCACAGGGAAATCTGGTTCCTTGGGGTCTTTAATGGCTCGAGCGGCAGTGGGACGGGGTTGGGGACACGGGAGGGGGCCGCAGCCCAGCCCGGCCCTGGGCCTAGTCATCGTCATCGTCGTCGTCGTCATCGTCGTCGTCGTCGTCGTCCTCGGTGTTGATCTCGCCCTCCAGCACGTCCTCGATCCACTCCTCCAGCTCGGCCGTGCTGGGCAGGTCGTCCTCGTCCGTCATCTCCAGCCACACGCTGTCGGCCTGGGGCAGCGGCCGCGCCATGGGGACAGCATGGGGACACCGGCCGTGGGCCGGGCATGGGGACAACGTGGAGGGGGACTGGGGACAGGATCAGGGCACCAGCCATGGGATGGGCGTGGGGATACCAGCCATGGGACAGGGACCAGGGACAGCATGGGGACACCGGCCATGGGATGGGGATGGGGACCAGGGACAGGATGGGAGCACAAGCCATGGGATGGGGATGGGGACACCGGCCATGGGATGGGGACCAGGGACAGGATGGGAGCACAAGCCATGAGATGGGGATGGGGACACCGGCCATGGGATGTGGATGGGGGCACCGGCCATGGGATGGGGACCAGGGATAGGATGGGGACACCGGCCATGGGATGGGGACAAGGGACAGGACATGAGGCACAGGATGGGGACAGGGGGCAGTGTGGGGACACCAGCCATGGACCAGGGCTGCAGGATGTGGAAGGGACCGGAGAACACAGGAGAGGGAAGGGGACCTGGAGCTGGGATGGGGCCGTGGGACCCGCGTGGTGCACAGGACCGGGACAGGACGCGCGGTGACACGGCACCACGGGGGCTCCGGGACGGGGGCGGCCTGAGAACGGCGCGGCCGGCGGCTCCCCCGCACCGCCTCGCAGGCCACACGCGGGATGAGCGCGTCGGGTCTCGGCCACAAGGTCACCGGGCTGGCGAGGGGACACTCACGTCGGTGACGTTGACCACCCCGATCTGGGGCCGGGACAGGTCGATGTTGAAGGTTTTCTCCCAGTAGGGGACGAGCTGGAGGGTGAGAGGGGGCCGAGGGTCACCCCGCGGGGCCAGCGCGTCACCCCGGGGCTGGGGGCGGCGGCGGGGGGGCGGCGCCCCGCGGGTACCAGCGGGAAGTCCTCGGGGTCGATCCAGATGATGCTGAGGTCGGGGTTGTCCGTGTTGTCCTGGGCCACGTCCTTGAGGATCTCCAGGAACTCGAACCCGTCTGGGCCGGGCAGYGGGGTGAGGGGCGCCCGGGACCCCCGTCCCCAGAGGCTGCCCCTCACCTGCCCGCCCCTTACCCGGGTCGTCCTCCTCGGCGAAGGCCACGATGTGGATCCCGTCTATGTCGTCCTCCTGGGGTGGGGACGCGGTCTGGTCATGGGAGCCGTCCCCATGGGGGGGGGGGACGGTCCTGGGGGGTGTCCCCACCGCCCGGGGGTGATGGGGGGCAGGACAGAGCTAGGGGAGGGCTGAGGGGCCCAGGCGTCCGGGCAGGCCCAAGGGTGCCTGCGGGGCGGGGGCAGGTCCCGGAGGGGCCGGTTCCCCCCCCACGAGCACCCCGGGGGTCCCRGCCCCGCTCACCCACGTCTGGAACATGCTCTCGGGCTTCAGCTTCCGCAGCGTCGCCCTGCAAAGGGGGGCACAGGGCTCAGGGGGGCACCCGGGGACACCCCCCCGGGCACAACACTGCCCTCCGGGGGGGCAATCGTAGGGGGGGCCCTGGCTGTGCCCCCCCAGGCATGGCTGTGCCCTCAGCAGGGGGGCAGCCCCACACACTGGGGGGGGCAGGATTGTGCCCATCCCGAAGTGTCCCAGGGGAGGGGGCCGCATCCCGCCCCCCCCCACTCGGCCGTATTGAGGTCGCGGCTGGGGGGGGGCAGCTTGATCCAGGGGATTAGCGGGAAGAGGCGACCGGAATGTCGCTGCCAGACACAATCCCCGGCCTTAACCCCTGCGCCGCCGTCCCGCTGCCGGGGAGGGGGCARCGCCCGGCGAGCCCCTTCCCCGCCCTTCGCCCCCGGCCACCCCTCTTTTGCGCTGAGACCTTGCACACTTGCTTCGCCTGTTGTCGCCTCCCCATCCCGCCCCAGGCGGGGACTGTCCCCCCGCTTCTGTGGAGAGGGAGGGTGACGGACGCCCCTGGTTTTGGTGGCCAAAATGGGGCACCTTGGCCGGAGCGACCGTGCCCATGGCAACCACCTCCCATAGCAACCCTGTCCTATGGCAACCACCTCCCATGGCAACCACCTCCCATGGCAACCACCTCCCATAGCAACCMYSTCCTATGGCAACCACCTCCCATGGCAACCACCTCCCATGGCAACCTCCTCCCATAGCAACCCTGTCCTATGGCAACCACCTCCCATGGCAACCACCTCCCATAGCAACCACCTCCCATGGCAACCACCTC